ATATATATAATGTATACTTGTAATATTGTAATATATTGTAATATTATAACATTGTTAATATTATTACAATTGAGGAACAAAGAAAATACGTACACTTTTAGTTTGAAATCTGAACGCGATATGTTTCAGTCATCTTTATTATTTATTATCATTGATATAAATTTAATCTAAACTTACCATGACATATTTTTTATTATTCAAACTATGTGTGTGCGAGTTCTTGTTTTAGAACGGAAATAATTTTTTTGTCGTGCCATATATCTACTATTTCTCTGTTATAATAAAATATTGTAATTATTTGTATACTGTATAATAGTAAAATTGTCTAAATAAAGTAGTTACAAGTTAAAAGATATTTTATAAAACAATATGTATTTTGTAATTGTCCAATAGAACTGATATTTAATGATGTATATAACGTATTACAGCTTAAAGCATTACAAATAATATAAAAATTTCATAAGTTTTATTATGTCTGAGTGAGTATTTCGGTGTAAAATTCGAGCACAGTTTTTGTATTGATTTTAAAGTATTTAATTTCTTGCTTGCTTTAATTTTTATACAAAATTGCGTTTTATAATACTTATTTGCAAAGGATATAACAGGATAAGGAGGGGATTTTGGGCCTTGTAATTCATCGCCACAAAAGGCAAAATGAACAAATAATTTGAGAGACAACCATCTTTAACATAATCTAATATTATGCCAACTAGTTGCTTAGCTGAGTGGAGCAGATAGTAGAACTCAAGCTAATAATCGCAACAAGATTTTTTTGAATAGATGGATATTAATTTGCGTAATTAATGTATGCCAGCCAGAAACTCACTCCATCTCCAACAACGTTCGCATGCGGATCCAAGCATCGTCAATCCATTACAACAAATTTAAAAATCACGATGTCAAAGTTATGTAGATTAAAAAATAATTTAAGTAACATAAAAGAGAGTCATGTTCGTTCTGATTATTATCTTATGTTACATAATAACCGTTGAATATAAAAAGAGATGTGTCGCGCGAACAAAGCATAATCGGTTAATGATAAAAATAAACATATTATAACTGTTGAGAATTTCTATATATCCATGATTTAATCCTCAGTGTTAGTTTGCATGGACCATTTATGTAGAGCATCTCCGACATTCGCTTATTATAATTTCTCTCAGACTCCAGAATTCTCACATTATCCCAATCAAAGTCATGATTGCAACTCACCTTATGATCTGTGATAACTGAACAAGTGGATGTAACTCTATGTTACGTATATGATTGCGATGTTCTGCTAATCTTGTTTTTAGTTTTCTTCCCGTTTGGTCTACGTAGGTAGCATCGTAATCACGACATTCGATCTGGTCAACCACATTCCTTTTGGCAAATTTGGGCAAAAGATCCTTGTATACCTTAATGAATTTGTTTAATTTATTAATACTGTAATGAGCAACGCTATATGGGACGGAGGGTATGTACGGCTCATGAAATATTTATAAATAATGCATATAAATAAGACGTAAAATGCTTATCTCCAACTTATAAATAATCCATTCTGCGTAATTTAATGATGCATATAAACGCGGCATGCTCATACACATTTTAATGCATTCGTAGCGAGTAATGTCATCACCTGTAGATCAAGTTGATTTTGTATACTAAAAAATAATTCAACAATTAAAAATACATTTGAAAACAATGATATAAATCTGGTAAAAGAGACAAATAACAGTATTGATATATATTTCAAAATAGAAGTCATTATAGTTTTTATGAAAAAGAAGAAATTGAAAAACACATTTAAAATTTAGATATTTTGTTATAAATAGAGAAAAGTAATTTATTTATGAGAATTTAACACACTTTATATTTCTCTTTCTATAAAAAGAGAACACACTTTATGTTTTTCTTTTTGTAGAAAGAGACTAAAGCAGCTGGATTCGGCACACACCATTCGTTGTGGAGGGGAGAGTCCCCGCTACATGCCAAATTTTGAGAAACAATTTCCGTGTCGCTGAAAAACAATAAATAAATTTTTAATGTTTGTTTTACAACCTTCGTATTTTAATTTACCATATCTATTATATCATCCAAATTGAAGAATACAGTGGATATTTTATTCGAAAAGAATTTAAAATGGAAATAATTTTTCTGAGAAAAAAAAGAGAGTGTCAATTGTGTTAGAATTTTTTTTGTACTACTCGCTGTCCTTAATATCGGTTGTTAAAATACTGAGAAATTGTCCTAATTTCATAAAATCATTTTGAGGACAATTTAAAAAATTATAAATATTCAAAAAATGTAAGAAAAATAATTTTTTTTAGATTCTATACTAAAAACCCTCTTTAATGAAATATTAGCATTAACAGTCAAGAAATGTGATTTTTTTCGACTTCCAGCGTAATCCTACATATACATATATGTATGTGTGTTATTCTTAAGCATTTTTACCATAAATAATACTTACATGTGTAAATTTTTCTATTTGTATTATACCAATAAAATATTATTCGAAAATAATCTTTATGTCTTTATCTTTTCAAAAAGTGTTATTTTTGTTTCTTCATAAATATTATTTATTAATTGAGTCAATAGGAATTACTATACCATTTTAACGCTTAAATTCAATATTAGAACGTTAACCCTTCATGGTCACGTGGGTTAAAATAACCTAAGCATATGGTAAATCATTTCAAAAGGATTAGACGAATATATATTTGAAAATATTATAAATTTAAAAAGTTATAATTTTTTCAGTAATAAAACTAATTTTTTCGAAGTTAACATGTTTACGGTTTTTTTTTAGTGTAAAAATTAAATTTTTTACTACAACTTTATTGCTATCACTACAACATTATTGTTCCATTTTCTTAAAGGATGAAATTATATACTATAATTTTTTTAAGTCAATGGAACTAATACTATTGATTTGGTAACATTTAAAAAATGATTCGAATTATTTTAATCCAGAGTAACCATCGTGTAGCTTTTTTGAAGTGTAATCATGAAGGGTTAAATGAAAAGATACTTTTCACTAAAAGATATTAATATACGCAATAAAAATGTCGAGTATGAATTTTTATTCTCTACATCATTTGTCCAAATTCTATTATTTGAGTGACACACAACTGTTTTTTTTATTTATCTTCAAATTCTGCTTTCTTTTCTGAGCTGAACTTTATTATTTAATCGAATATTTTGTACATTTTATACAAAGCTACTTTGGAATCTTGGAAATTTAATTTAAAACGTAGCGCAATATGAATCTAAAACAATTTAAAAAATAATACTATATAAATATACTTACTTTGTAATACATCATTGTCTGATAGAATGTATATTTAATATTCTGCTAGAACTCTACGTTAACAAATTAAATATTTATATGCTCACCTCAAGCTTTTATAAATAATCTATTCCACGTGACTCATTGACACATACAAATGCGACATATTTATATTTAACGCATCTGTAGCGGATATTGCTATCACCTTATAAGGCATGTAAATCCAAGAATAGTAATTCAATAATTCAATAAGATATTTCGTTATGTGCTCTCATTCGAGAGTAATATTAAAATTAGACAATACTGAGATATTGATTAAGGGTGTGATCCATTCAATACTGCAAATACTTCGTTGACCAATCAGAAGAATGAATTTTACAAATTTATCAATCAAAGAATTCTTCAAAGTGTTTGCAGCGTGAAATGGATCGTACTTTAAGATTCAAAGTGTATTACTTTATTTCTTTAAAACTGCTGCAACGAATGTATCTGAAAAAAATCATATAAGTACAGAAGCTTTAGGTATCTAAAACATTATTAATTAATTTAAATTAGCACTAAGTACAGTCTCATCCTTTACCCCGAAATAATATCCATAATGATAATCTTCATATACGACAAAAATCTCGATTTCCATTGTGTACTCTACTATTTTCCGGACAAAGCAAAATGAACTTACAAGGCAGTACATAGTATTGTCTAAACTACAATAGATATACAATAGATATGCGGCTGCATGTTAAAATTCTGTAGACAGATCGGCATTAAATCGTTCGTTACATGCCTTTCTCGAACGTGCACGAGTGCAGAAACAAAAATTACTTTTTTATACATCAAGTAAATTTTATTATGTGCACAAAATTAAAAGATTTTTTTTTTTATAACGAAGGTATAATGTATTATTATAATATATTTTAATGATTATCTGCATT